TTCAGGGATCCTGCTCTCTCACCCATGCTGGAGGGCACTGGCGCCATTACAGCTCCCTGCAGCCTTAACCTCCTGAGCCCAAGCCATCCTTCTGCCTCAGCCTTCTGAGCAGCTGAGACTACAGGTGTAAGCCGCTGCCCCCGGCCTCTTCTTTTCTCCCCCAAAACGTCTCAGCAGAATGGTACCTCTTTCGTTAGCTGTAAATAACAATGTGCCCCATCATCCATGGCATCAGAGAATAGATGAAATACAATAAAAGCAACATGCTCTTGGCTCTCGATGGACTTACTGCTACTGGTGTTTTTCCAGGAATAAGTGAAGCCGATGGGTTTGAAAACAAAGACCCAAGGCTGTCCGCGCCCAAGTGTGCCAGTCATTCAGGGACACCCTGCTGCCCTGGCCAGGCGCCGTCACGTGGGAAGCGGCCACTCGTGCTGCTATTTGTAGTCTGAACACTTGACGCTTTCCCCTCATGATGCCCAAAGACAGCTAGACCAATGTGTGGGGATAAAACACTAGGGGACAAGGCCAGACACATGAAGACATGCTCCATTCTGACCTGTCAAGTTTCAAAATACATGTGGGGCCGGGCACGGTGGCTCACGCCTATAGTCCCAGCACTTTGAGGGGCCGAGGCGGGTGGACTGCCTGAGTTCAGGAGTTAGAGACCAGCCTGGGCAACACGGTGAAACCCTGTCTCTACTAACATACAAAAAATTAGCTGGGCATGGCGTGGGCACCTGTAGTCCCAGCTACTTGGGAGGCTAAGACAGGAGAATCGCCTGAACCTGGGAGGCAGAGGTTGCAGTGAGCCAAGATCGTGCCACCGTACTCCAGACTGGGTAACAGACCAAGATTCCATCTCAAAAAAAATATATATAAAAAGTGGGGTCTGAGTATTAATGCAAATAGAAAATTTTATGAAGTTTTTAGCAATTCAACCCTAAAATAGTTATGTATAAAACTGTAAAATGTTTCTAGATAATTTCATTATTTGGATTTTGAAACAGTTTCTTGTAGGATGACAAACAGCTGTGAACTAAGTAAATGTCCTCTGCTGAGGGGTGACCCAAGGAGGGGTGGTCTAAAGCTGCTTTTAGGGGACGTTGGGATTGGGAAGAGCAGTTACAACAGTCCCTGGGTCTTGCCCGCCAGTCCAATTCTGGTAAAAACTAGGTGTCTACTATCTAAGCCTTCCACCAACATAGCTAAGTTTAGTCTGTTTCTGCTATTTCAGGTATTGAATCTATTGTCCCAGTCAGATTCTCGATGAGTGGAAGCATCTAGGAAGCATCTTCGGCTGACGGCGGAAGGCCATGCAGCATGGCCACTATTCCCTTCTCTGGGAGCCAGTAGCCTGGGGGGCTAAAACGCTCAAGTTCAAGTCTGTGTTCTCTGTGAAGTTATACAGCCTCCTACACTCAGTTTCCTCATTTGCAACATGAGGCTGAAGAGCTCAGTACCCACTGCCCAGGGCTGCTGTGGGCAGTGACTGGTAGGTTTTTAATGCTCACTCCTCCCAAGCTGCGGACAACAGAATGCACTTGGCATGGAGCTTTCTCCTGGAAGGCAGCCCTCCTCAGGCAAACGTAAGCAAGATCAGAACCTGGCACCACCTCTTGACTCTCACATGAAAGGAAGGAAATCCACCATGAGTGGTGCTTGCTGCCCCTGTCGGAGACAGCAGGACAATCTGCGTCACCTACGGCAGACACCGCCCTGGGCGGCAGCAAGATCTGGAGGTTTGTGAGAGAAGCGATTCCTTCCCATTATTTGTCAACTCCCCCGTTTAGTCTCAAAATGAATTCAAAAACCACCACTAGAATTAGGCATTCTGCCTTCCCGGACAGAATTTGTTTTCTAAAATGCAGATCTTTAGATCTTTACAGTATCCAGCCGGGCGCAATGGCTCAGGCCTATAATCCCAGTGCTTTGGGAGGCCAAGGTGGGCAGATCATGTGAGGTCAGTAGTTCAAGACCAGCCTGGCCAACATGGTGAAGCCCCGTCTCTACTAAAAATTAGCCAGGCGTGGTGGGTCACGCCTATAATCCCAGCTACTCCAGAGGCAGACACAGGAGAATTGCCTGAACCGGAGGTTACAGTGAGCCAATATCGTGCCACTGCACTCCAGCCTCAGCAACAGAGAAAGACTCCGTCTTACAAAAAAGAAAAAACCTTTACAGTATCCACCAGGCATGCATTTAACAGAGAAGACGTGACCTACGTTTTGGAATGATCAGAGACGTGGTGATGCGCTCGAACCGCAAATGGGAGAAAGTCCATTTCTGAAATCCTGTTTGGTTTCCAGGATTCTAGAGAAGGTACATGGACAGAAACAGGAAGGTACAGGCTTCTTTACTCTCTTAAGCCACAGGCCACAGGGGAAGCAACTTTGCCTGCCAGGGACCTTCAGCACTGTCTGAAGAAAATTTTGAGAATCACAACTGGGGGTAGGGTTGCTGCTAACATCTACTGTGCAGAGAACACACCACTACACAGATGGCACCAGTGAAAGGTGGAGAGCTCCCTTTCTGAACCACATAGATTCTTTTCGATTCAGGGTTGGCCTGCTAACCCAGTGCCCATCCTGGGTTTTTAAGGACTGGCTTTCTACCCTTTGCCCTATGCACCCGACTTGCAAGTTCCCCTGAAGATGTCTCTCGTAAAAACTTAACGTTTTACTGGACCCCAGCATGAGGCTCCTGCAGACCAAGGCCACATCCTGCACCACTCCAAGACAATGCAGGCCTCTGGCCCTTGAGAAACAGGTCTGCCCTTGAGAAGAAGGGCCTCCAGAGGACAGGCTCTCAGCCCGGGTCTCTGCTGGCCTTTCCTTGGGTTGGTGATGGGATTTTTCATTCCTGTGGTCTTCTCTGGTCATATGAGGCCCAGGATGAGATACACTGGACACCTCTCTATAACGGGTTCCCCAGGACCACAGGTGCCACCAAAGACATTTTGTGTCACATAAACCTAGACATGTCAGTTTCTGGTAGTAGCACAGATTATGTTGCCTGTGTTGAGAAAAGATGTCGAAAAATCAAATCAATAGTCCACTCTTTCCCATGACAAAAGGGCTAACAGAGGCCCTCAACAGGTTTTCCTGTGGCCGACTGCCCAAGAGGGCTCACCCAACCCACCTACACACGTGCCACGGAGGCTTCTGACTGGGAGAGCTCCACAAACGTGGAACAGCCACTCTTCAGAGAAAAAGCCCTGTTCCCAAAGAGGACTCCTGGCAGACCACAGCCCTGCTGCTGAGACACGTGCTTCGCGGCTCTGAAATCCCCACGTGGAATGACCTCCTGCTCCATCAGCTGAATTGTGTCAAAGTCCAGGCAACTTGTGAGTTGGACTCTCAGGTCAGGACGGGAGCACTCTGTCTTCACACCTGGCCCATCATGGCACACCGAGTACCTAAGGTGCTGGGCTGAAGGCTCAAAGAACCAGGACAGTAACTGAGCTGGAAGAGGTCAGAATGGTTGCCAAGTTCAAAACCCTTGTTTTGCTCAGGATAACACAAACCCAAGGTGTGAAGGGACTCCCCCAAGCTATAAGCAAAGCATGCCAATGACCAGAGGCCTTACCCAGGGATCACACATCAACAAGGCCCCAGTGTGCACCACGCGTGCCACTAGCACAGCCCCATGACTGCTGAGGGGCACACGACACCATCAGGAGCACGTGTTAAAATTCACACAAACTCTTGATTTCAGACACCACAAGCCAATATGAAGCCAAGGAAGGCAGTTTAAGTAACAGTATAAGTTTTTTGTTTTTTTTTGAGACAGGGTCTCACTCTGTCGCCCAGGCTGGAATGCAATGGCACGATCTTGGCTCACCGCAACCTCTGCCTCCCAGGCTCAAGTGATTCTCCTGCCTCAGCCTCCTGAATAGCTGGGATTACTATTACAGCGAGCACCACCAAACCCGGCTAATTTTTGTATTTCTAGTAGAGACAGGGTTTCACTATGTTGACCAGGCAAGTTTGGAACTCCTGACCTCAAATGACCCACCCGCCTCAGCCTCCCAAAGTGCTGGGATTACAGGCGTAAGCCACCATGCCCAGCCCGTAAGATGTTTCTTTGTGTTGAGGGAGGGCCTCTGGACCCAAGAGTCTCTGAAGGAAGCTGTGACCAGTTGGTCAGGGTGTGAACATCTCCCTCCCTTTTGCCCAGAACCAGTTTTGGGCAAAAGCAATGCTGCGTTGCTATTCTCCCTTATCAAACAGAACCCTGGTGTTCCTATGTGACTGGTAAGGGACCTACCTCCTCCCTGCATCATCTTGTAGATTTTGCTCTCAATGTGGAGCTGAGGGTGTTTGGTTTTGACACATTCAAGCTTGATGGCAACTTCTTCTCCTGCAGCAATGTCCGTACCTTAGTAAAGAAAGAAAACCACGAACAGGAATTAACCTGGTGTCCACCAAATAACCCAACATGCCAGAGAAACGACAAACATTATGTGAGTTTTCCAAGAAGGACCAAGTGATGGATGCTTTCTCCTTTCTAGCGTAGTAAGGTGGGCGCATCGGCTGATACATCTCTGGGGAAAGTTATCCTTGTTCCCACTTTTACAATAGGAAGAATCTGAACGGCACAGAAAGCCTGCGCTGCTTCCATCGCCTGCCCACCAGTCTCAAGGTGCTGCAGCTCCCTCTTGCACAGTGGCCCCTCTGGTCTGCGTCCTCCATCAGCCCTGCCCAAGGGCCCCTGCACTCACCCACCCCAGACAGCCTGTGGTGGAGCTAAAGAGTGCTGCTCCCTTTTCTCCACACTGCCTTGATAGGCCTCTGGGGGTGGTTTGAGTCTCCCTCTGCGTAAGGGCTGGGTTTCTACCCAACAGCCACAGCCCCAGTCCACCCAGCCCTGGCACTGCAGGCAGCGGGAGTCACCTCCAGTCAACCCAGGCAGAGGAAGGCCCTTTTCCCTTCCTGGGGACACGAAGC